TCAAGGTGCAAAAAACCCTAAACCCTAAACCCTAAACCCTAAACCCGAAACCCTAAACCCTAAACCCTAAACCCTAAAACCCTTTAGGGTTCAAGGAATTTTAGGGTTTAGGGTTTTCGGGTTTAGGGCTTGTGGTTTAGGGTTTAGGGTTTGGGGTTTGGGGTTTGGGGTTTGGGGTTTAGGGTTTGGGGTTTGGGGTTTTGGTGTTTTCCCAAAGCTCTGAGCCCCCAAAGCCCCAAAAAGCCCCGAACGTCGGAGGACATGGTGCAAAGCGCCGATGACTCCTGCAACTCGGCCTTTTCAATCCCAGTTTGCTAAGGGGAACCACAAGATTTCTTGTACAGGGTAGCCATAAGTGCCATAAGGGTCGTTATGAGGGCTTACATGCAAGCGTTTAGGGTTTGGGCTGCCGGCAGATTACTCCAAAATCAGAGGGCTTAATGCGTGCGCGTGCGCGTGCGCGTGCACGTGCGGGTGCGGGTGCGGGTGTTCGCGCGCGGGCGCGCGCGGGTGTGTGTGTGTGTGTGTGAGATTGTATGTACGTATATGTACAAATGTGCGTATGTACGTATTTACACACGTATGTACGTACGCACGTACGTACATACGTACGTGCTTGGATATGTATGTATGTATGTATGTATGTATGTATGTATGTATGTATGTATGTATGTATGTATGTATGTATGTATGTATGTATGTATGTATGTATGGGAAACATACATCTGTACGTATATATCCATGTATACTATACTTACAAAGGAACTACAAGGGTATGCGTCATATGTACATACATATACGGGTAGCTATAGGGGTGTTGTGTTGATAAGGGCAAATAAAATCAACAAAGGGTAGCTATATTATGGGTACTGTAAGAGTACTCCAAAGGTTCAGCGTTTTAGGGCAGCCGCCCGCCCGCCCGCACGCACCACACCCACCCGAAGGCCTCTGGATCAGTTCCCTCCGCCTGGGCCTTTCGGGCGAGGAGGCGGCTTGGCTCGCATTCGTTCGGAAGAGGGCTTAGGGTTTGGAGAGTGCTTCAGAACAAGGGTGAGGGTTTAGGGTTTAGGATGTATAGGGTCTAGGGTATTTTAGGGCTTAGGGTTGAGGGTTTAGGGTTTTAGGGTTTAGTCCCTCAGGGTTTTGGCTTCAGATTGTAGGGTGCAGGGCTTAGCATACGGGATTCAGAGTGTAGATATTTGCCTAGGATGGAGGGGTCAGGGTTTATCAGCATGTAGCGTTCAGGGTTGAGGATATGATCCCCTCCCCTGATATTCAACCCCCCTACCCCCCAAAAATAAAGACCCCTATTCTTATTAGAGTGTATGGGAGGGGTATTTAATAATAGGGGGTGGGGGGGGTATAATATTAGGGGGAGGGGATTATGGTGATTGATAGGTCTCGCTCAAGACTCCGAACAAGAAAGACGAGCGGACGGGTTTAGGGTTTGGGGTGTAGGGTTTAGGGTTTAGGGTACCCTAAACCCTAGACCCTAGACCCTAAACCCTAAACCCTAAACCCTAAACCCTAAACCCTAAACCCTAAACCCTAAACCCTAAACCGGTACCTCCGCAGCAGTTGCACTTGCAAGCAGGACAGGTGTGGCGAGGGCACATGTGTTTGGCATCGCCAGGGCAACTCGAACCTAAGCCTAAACCCTAAACCCTAAACCCTAAACCCTACACCCTACACCCTAAACCCTAAACCCTAAACCCTAAACCCTAAACCCTAAACCCTAAACCCTAAACCCTAAACCCTAAACCCTAAACCCTACACTCTAAACCCTAAACCCTAACACCCTAACACCCTAACACCCTAACGCCCGAACGCCCGAACGCCCTAACGCCCTAACGCGCCAAGCCCTAGAAGCTGCCAGGCAACCCTGAACTTGCATTAGCAGTGTTGACATTTCGACCCTAAACCCTAAACCCTAAACCCTAAACCCTAGACCCTAGACCCTAGACCCTAGACCCTAGACCCTAGACCCCAAACCCTAAACCTCCGAACTCCAAACAGGGTGATTCTGGTACGAAAGGGTGCACGGCCCCAAGCACAAAACCGTAAGCCCGTTTTGGGAAACCCCTTGTGAAGCCCTATATCGAAAGTAGTCCCCTGGGGCGATTTTGGGCCAAAATAGCCCCAAACCCTGAGTCCGTTTCATGTCGATTTCAATCCATGTACACCTCTTGAGTGGCGCAAGCGTGACTTTGGGGACGGAGCCAGAAGAGTCCGTCACCTGCTTGTGCCAAAGAGCCCAGGTCGCTCTAAAAGTTGGCAAGGGGAGGCTGCTGACTTCCTGTGGGGAGGTGCTGGCCGGAGGTACAGTGAAGCGAGCTCGTTTACGAGACAACGACTTGCTGACCCTTCACGTCGGACAGGTTCGAATCAGCGCTTCGCGTGGATTCGCCTTTGCTGCTTTGCTGGGTGACGGATCTGTGGTGACCTGGGGCGTTGCTGTGTCCGGAGGCGACAGCAGTGCCGTACAAGATCAGCTCAAGAACGTGCAGCAGGTGCAAGCTTCTCATCGGGCGTTTGCTGCGATTTTGGCTGATGGATCTGTGGTGACCTGGGGCCATGCTGAAGACGGAGGCGGCAGCAGTGCCGTACGAGATCAGCTCAAGAACGTGCTGCAGGTGCAAGCTTGTCATCGGGCGTTTGCTGCGATTTTGGCTGATGGATCTGTGGTGACCTGGGGCCATGCTGGAGATGGAGGCGACAGCAGTTCCGTACAAGATCAGCTCAAGAACGTGCAGCAGGTGCAAGCTTCTCATCGGGCGTTTGCTGCGATCCGGGCTGACGGATCCGTGGTGACCTGGGGCCGTGATGATTACGGAGGCGACAGCAGTGCTGTACAAGATCAGCTCAAAAACGTGCTGCAGGTGCAAGCTTCTGAACGGGCGTTTGCTGCGATTTTGGCTGATGGATCTGTGGTGACCTGGGGCCATGCTGGAGATGGAGGCGACAGCAGTTCCGTACAAGATCAGCTCAAGAACGTGCAGCAGGTGCAAGCTTCTCATCGGGCGTTTGCTGCGACCCGGGCTGATGGATCTGTGGTGACCTGGGGCGATGCTGAAGTCGGAGGCGACAGCAGTGCCGTACGAGATCAGCTCAAGAACGTGCAGCAGGTGCAAGCTTCCGGTTGGGCTTTTGCTGCGATTTTGGCTGACGGATCCGTGGTGACCTGGGGCCGTGATGATTACGGAGGCGACAGCAGTGCTGTACAAGATCAGCTCAAGAACGTGCTGCAGGTGCAAGCTTGTCATCGGGCGTTTGCTGCGATTTTGGCTGATGGATCTGTGGTGACCTGGGGCCATGCTGGAGATGGAGGCGACAGCAGTTCCGTACAAGATCAGCTCAAGAACGTGCAGCAGGTGCAAGCTTCTCATCGGGCGTTTGCTGCGATCCGGGCTGATGGATCTGTAGTGACCTGGGGCGATGCTGAAGACGGAGGCGACAGCAGTGCCGTACGAGATCAGCTCAAGAACGTGCAGCAGGTGCAAGCTTCTGCAGGGGCGTTTGCTGCGATTTTGGCTGATGGATCTGTGGTGACCTGGGGCTATACTGAATTCGGAGGCGACAGCAGTGCCTTACAAGATCAGCTCAAGAACGTGCAGTAGGTGCAATCTTCTGAACGGGTGTTTGCTGCGATTTTGGCTGATGGATCTGTGGTGACCTGGGGCGTTGCTGTGTACGGAGGCGACAGCAGTGCCGTACAAGATCAGCTCAAGAACGTGCAGCAGGTGCAGGCTTGGAAGGGGGCGTTTGCTGCGATCCGGGCTGATAGATCTGTGGTGACCTGGGGCCATGCTGAAGACGGAGGCGACAGCAGTGCCGTACAAGATCAGCTAAAGAACGTGCAGCAGGTGCAAGCTTGTGCTGCGATCCGTAATCCCTAAACCCGAAACCCTAAACCCTGAACCCTAAACCTTACGAACCCTAAACCTAAGAAACCCTAAGTCTTGCGAAGCCTGAGCCCCTAAGCCTAAACCCGAAGCTGCACACCGTAAACCCGAAAAAGGGAGTAGCGGAAACCCCACAACCCTAGAACCCTAAACCCTGAACAGGTTTAGGGTTTAGGGCTTACGGTGCCGAATCCCACTTCGGATTTTACCACGCCATGGCTTGAGGTTCCCCGAACTCTACACTCAAACCCCCAAACCCCAAGCCCCAAACCAAAAAACCCTCAGCCACAAACCCTAAACGCTAAACCCTCAACCTCCAGACCCCAAACCCTAGCCGCGAGTCTGAAACCCCTAAACCCAAACCCCACAAACCCTAAACCCTAAAAACCCTGAAAACCCTAAAAGCCCTACAAGCCCTGAAAACCCTAAACACCCTAAAAGCCCTGAAAACCCTAAAAACCCTGAAAACCCAAAACCCCTAAAACCACAAACTTCAAACCCCGGACCCCAAACCTGAACCTTAAAGCCCTAAACCCTCAATCCTAAACCCTAAACCCTAAACCCTGAACCCTAAACCCTAAACCCTAAACCCTAAACCCTAAACCCTAAACCCTAAACCCTAAACCCTAAACCCTAAACCCTAAACCCTAAACCCTAAACCCTAAACCCTAAACCCTAAACCCTAAACCCTAAACCCTAAACCTAATCCCTAAACCCAAAACCCAAAACCCTAACCCTGAACCTTAGACCCCTCAACGCGAAACCCCAAAACTTGGGGGCGCCTCCATCGGGTCAGTCTACGGTTCAGGGTTTAGGGTTTAGGGTTTCGGGTTTAGGGTTTAGGGTTTAGGGTTTAGGGTTTAGATTAGAGCTTAGGGTTTAGTTAACGGTTTAGGTTTTAGGGTCCTTCTTGAGCCTCAGGTTTAGAATCCTGAGCCCATCCCCCAAACCGCAAGGCCCTCAAGTCTGGGCCCAAAATTCCACAAGCCCTAAATCCTCAGCCTAGAACCAAAAAGGGTTTATGGTTCAGGGTTTGAGGGTTAGGGTTTAGGGTAATCCCTAAGCCTTAACCCCTAAACCCCAGCGAGTCTTCGCAGAGCCCGCGTGTCAGGAGTTCCAATTCGTTCGTGATCGCGACTGGTGCCAGGTGGGTGAACTCCGTAAGCCCCAAGTTCTTGGATCCTGAACACCTAAGCACCATATGCACCCTAAACCCTAAACCCTAAACCCTAAGCCCTAAACCCTGAGGCCTAAACCCTAAACCCTAAACCCTAAACCCTAAACCCTAAACCCGAAACCCTAAACCCGAAACCCTAAACCCTAAACCCTGAACATTAACCAGCCCCAAACCTTAAGCCCCAAAGCCTGGATCCTAAACGTCCTAAACCTGCAACCTAAATCCTAAACCCTACACCCTACACCCTAAACCCTAAACCCTACACCCTACACCCTACACCCGAAACCCTAAACCCTAACAGCCACTTTTAGGTTTGCGGGAGTCTTGGTGACCGGCGGGAGGGGGGAGGGAGCCTCCATGCTCTGGGCTTCCATGTCAAGCCACGAAGCCACCATCGCCGGCTTCAGTTGTGGACAGACGGTTTCAGGGTGTTCGGGTTTCGGGTTTAGGGTTTACAATTTAGGGTTTAGGGTTTACAATTTAGGGTTTAGGGTTTAGGGTTTAGGAAGGGGGTTTCAGGGTGTTAGGGTTTTCGGGTTGAGGGTTTAGGGTTTAGGGTTTAGGAAGGGGGTTTCAGGGTGTTAGGGTTTTGATGTTTTGGCAGGGCTCCTAAGCAGGGGACCCTAAACCTTGAACCCCAAGCCCCTACCGGGTTGGATGCGGCCGGATCTGAAGTAGAAGGGCTCCGCCATAGCATCGCCCTAAACCCTAAACCCTAAACCCTAAACCCTAAACCCTAAACCCTAAACCCTAAACCCTA